ATAGAAATTTTTTGATATTTGCAACCATAGTAAAACAAAGACTTATATTTTTGATATTTATTTTATATATTTAAATGCCATTTAACAGAAAAATCAACCAAAAAATGAGTTCACGTGTCACCTCTGACACACGTGTCATAGGTTCGCCATCACTGGTTTAGAGGATTAGAATAAATAAATAGTTTGTTGGTTGAGAAGACTACTTGGGGAATCAAATAAGATAGGAAGATAAAATAGTGATGAGTTTGAGGGAGAAGGGGATGGTTAGAGTAGATCATCCCAAGTGGACTAGATTGTGGCCCTTGTGTTTAGGCTCTCATATCAGGACACCTACCCTGTCAGGCCAGGCCCTGCTTTTCCCTGTGAAAATTGCCCAGTGCCTAAAGTCATAGCACTGTTTTTTGTATATTCCCTGAGCTGCACTTTTGATCATGCTTTATACATTTTAATTTCTCCTGTTAACACTTTTAGCTTGGTTTTAGCCAAGGAAGGTAAACAAACATGGTGGGCACCAGTTCTATTATAGTTTGGTCTCAGAGGCATCTGACTTGGGGATATATGGTCCTTTCCTATTGTGACTGATACCAGTTCTACTAATTATTAGCCATATGTCTGTGGGAACCTCACACCTCTCCTTGATCCAGTTTTTTCATTATAATATGGGGATAATAATGCCTGCTTTACAGAGCTTTGAAGATTAACTGAATGAATATGACAATGTGTGGTACATAGTAAGCAATTCATAACTGTTAGCAATTACTACTATTAAGAGGTGTTTTAGAAATGATATATATGATGTGAATATTTATAGTAACTATTAATAACAAGTTTTATAATGTCCAAGAAAGGTTAATTATATATTGTGGATAAGAGGAGAAAAGAAATGCAAGAAAGAAGATTGATGTATACTTAGCACCAAATCTTACCTTTACTCAACAAATCCACACCAGGAAAGCTTCATCTAATTTAATTCAGTTGTTAATTGCAAATTACTCTCCTTTGTGCAGAAGATGATGTTCTGAGATTATCTGAGATTACTGGTGTATGGAGTCACTGTGGGTCTGGGGAATGAAGGTTAATGAATAGCTAAAGGATATACTATAATGGCAACTATGAATACAAAATTGAGTAAAATTAAGTTTTCCTCTTTCTTTTCATTTTAGAATAACTTTAATTTCTCCAAGTCATATTTATATCATACTGACTATTTCATTACATTCCTCCCCAGTGAAGTATCAATCATTTCTTAAAAATTTACTTATTTATACTTAAATGATTTAAATTACATTTGGAATAATGTGTTACACATAAGTAAGTGAACTTTATAATTCTGAATGATGATCTGTGTTTTTTAAGAGTGTGGGCATGTGAAGTTTTTTTTAAACACGTTTTATTATTTTTGATTGTTATAGAATACTGTTCTAAGTGAGATTAGTGTACTTTCCCCCATTAATTTATTAAATTTGGGGAAGAATTTCAGTGAATTATCTTTATTTTTATTTATTTATTTTTTCAGTGAATTATCTTTAAAAATTCATTCATATGTGGAATCTTTGATTAAAATGTATATTAGTAGTTTAAAGGCTAAGGCTAACCTGGAAGAATCTTTCTGAATCTTAAAAATTATGTTGGGCCTGGCTGGCATGGCTTAGTGGTTGATTGTCGACCTATGAACCAGGAGGTCATGGTTTGGGGTGCATGGCCGGGTTGTGGCGGCGCGTGGGAGAGCATGCAGGAGGCAGCCGATTAATGATTCTCTCTCATCATTGATGTTTCTATCTCTCTCTCCCTCTCTCTTCCTCTCTGAAATCAATAAAAATATATTAAAAAAAGAATTATGTTGGAAGTCATGTTATAGTGTCTCCTACAGTTTCAGTCACCTTGCATAATTGTGATTCGTAACCTTTAAACAGGGTGAGGTTTTCCTTCTTTTTTAAAATTATTTATTGCTAGAGGGAGAGAGAGAGAGAGAGATTGATTGATTGATTGATTTGTTCTCCCACTTATGTATGCAGTCATTGATGGATTCTTATCTATGCCCCCACTGGGGATGGAATTTGCAACCTGGATATATCAGGACAACACTCTTAACAAACTGAGCTACTTGACCAAGGCTAAGTAGAGTGAGGTTTTCAAATAAAGAGTTGAAGTATTATAATAGTTTGGGTCAATGTAAAGACATATGAAAATCAGATTCTAATATTTTCTGTACTTCAAGAAATATAAGCAACAATATTGAGTCCTTTCACTCTACTGAAAAGTCCCAGAGGGTCTGATTTATACTGTTATGTTTATTGAACATAATTACTTATCTTTAGTTTGATCAATCTATTCAGTAGAGTTTTAATTCGATCTTTTAAGTCTTGTCCTACTTATTGACTAGATATGGACAGTCATACCATTTCTTTTGGACTTTGGGATATAGTACTTTTAAAACAAAACTGTACTTTTAAAACTTGCCTGTTACATTATTACTTAGGCAGATAATGAAAATCAATTTGAATTTCTTGAACACTTTACTAATTATAAATTGATATGACTGAAATGCTTTATTGTTCCATGTTGGCTAGAAGGGGTTTCTGGCTTTGTATTTTGAAAAATATGAAAATTTGCAGTTAAAGTATAAAGTTCTCTGATCTCCATTCGACATCATACAGGAGGAAGAGACCAAGTGAAAGAAAAGAAAGTTTATATATGTTTGTATGATATACAACCAAAAAATGATGTGTCTAAGTGACCTACATTTAATATAGTCCATCTAGAGTCATCATTGTTCAGCTTCTCTTGGAACATATTACCTTGTGTAGTGACCTATATCTCATCTACCAGTAGAGGCAAGTGGTGTTTTCCTAAGATTACCACTTCTGGGCACTAGATTTGGTGTTTCTTATATTTAAATAGAGAGGAGGGCTGAGCTCATAAGTTTCTACCTATTAAATTGATTAGCTTCTCTCTTCAGGGATATGGAAGGGAAGTGGCCACTCCGTAGGAGAGTTGTGTGTAGTTGTAGTGTGAAAGTGAAAATGATATGACACCAAGTACAATTTGTTTATCTTCAAAATATGGGGAAGGAAATAGATCAGTTTTTAGATCATGTTTTAATAATTTATTATTAAATTTATTTGGTCCCATTGTTTCATTTAGCTATATATAGCTTTTTTGAGATTATCTTTATAACTAATGGTGACTTATATCCATTGGATAGTACAACTCTGATTTCACTCACAGTAGAGAAGATAAATATTGTGAAACAATTTGATCTTTATAGCTAGGGCTATGCATTTGGAAGACAGTTGCTTTCATGGCTGCTTTTGCAATAGTTTTGGTTCAGGTAGTGGCAGTGAATTTTAAATTCTAAAGATAATTTTGTACATTTTACATGGTATAGCTTCTGATATGAATTTTTTCTTTGAGAAAATTGGATATAGATCTGGGTGAGTCATGATGCCACTTCTA